GTCCGCAGTAACCTCTGATCGTATGGGCCGAGCCAAACCAATGACTGTACTTTGTGGCGGGCTCGTATTCATCGTCTCAGAACGAGGGACCCACCAATTACGAAGGAACAATGGCATGCCTGGCACCGCCCACCTGATGAGCGCGGAATGTATTTCGAGATCACACCTGGTTGTGCTTTCTAACCTGAAGCTCTCAGTTACTGCTGAACTTCGAGGATGTTCCGTATCGCCTTATGAGCTCGAAAACTGCCGGAGCGTCTCTCAGTCCCTCTTATTGGATACCACTAAACAGCTCCCAAAGCCATTTTATCCCCAGTAGCAAGAAAGAATTTTGAATACGAGAGATTTCAGGCTATGGAGACATCTACTGTACGACGCTGTGCGGACGAATTTTCATGGTATTCTTCATTCTCGGTGGCCTCGTGAGTTTTCATGCTTTTATTGCATGCAGATGTCTTCCATATGTACAAGGCACCCTATTCAATGTGGAAATTACATCGAAAGGGGTCGTATTCGTGGCTGGTGGGGAGAGTGTCGTATATTTCATCGAAAGAACTTTTATATGGCACTCAAATGCTATTGATAATTTGAATGGGAGTAGAATGCCGGGCACATCCCAGGGAGGGATTGAGGCTCCCTCATAGACTGTTTATCCTTCGCCTGCTAGGTTATAGATTTTGAGGGTTATACCGACTACAAGGAGAAAATCGAAGGCTTTGAAAGAGTGTCACTAAGCATACTTGGAGCAGCAACACTGTGCTTGAATGCCGGAAACATTTATGCTGTTGAGCAACAAAAAAGCGTTCAGGAGGATGTCAGTGGAAAGTAAAGGAAGGGTTCAGAAGAGTTCAAAACGTGGGTGCTCCCCTTGGTCTTCATTTTAGAACCGGAGGGCTATTTAGTTCTGCGGGGGCAACAGGATGGACCTGGGCTAAGCGTACAGTAAACTACGAAAGTACCCAATACTCCAGTAAGCACTTTGCCCTTGTCAACCTGAGCTCTGTTGAACAAACTCCCTTGAGTGGCAAAGGGTCTGATTGCCTGAGAAAATGATAGTCAAGGGATCCAAATGGCAACAGCGCGGCGCTAAAAGTAGTTCGTGCACAGCACAGTACCTGCGCCATGGGTCGTAACGTACCATTACAAA